AGACAGCTTGTTAAACGTAGCCCAGATGTCCTGCGACGTCTTGAGATGTGGTGGCATCTTGCCGTGGCGATGTTCTAATACTCTGGCGGAGGTGCGGGGCAGCCAGCCATGTCTCTGGTATATCCGTGATTAATTGGGCCATTTGTAACGTGATTCAGATTGCGATTGCGCTGTTTATCTTCCGCAGCTGTACAAGCCCGGGTAATGATTCCATTATTCCACTCGTTGAACACCATTCTGCATTTTAATGGTTCCTCCTAATATGACGTTCTATCACTCTGCACATCGGCTTTTAGGCGTTAACCTGCTCCGTGCCGGAGGGGGGTCTAACCTGGACTTCACCGCCGCGTTCTGCTCTGACTTTGCTGGGTTTCTTGGGGCACCACCGGCTTTCGTGTGTATGAGGTTATCTATCTCCAGTGGAAAATAAAATGTCTGACAATTAGAAGACAGGACAAATTAGCATGTTCTGGGCTGCTGATTATAAGCGCGACCTTGATTAATGGCTGGAAAGTCCTTTTTTAATGGGCTTTATTTCCCACCCGACCTTCTTTTTTTTTTTTATATAAAATTCTGTCAACCGTAGATGAAAAGCCTTCGTGTTTTGTTTTTTTTTAAATGGCAGGAAGCCGTCTTATGTTATCCACGTGCTGAGAGAGCAGACGGGCAGATGTTTGTGAAATTAATTAAATCCAGAAATGCGGTTTTAGGGAACCATTCATGTTATGTTCGTGCTGACAAATCTCCAAGTCTTGATGGACTCTCTCATTCATCGTTGCTCTGTAGAAGTCTGCGTCTGTTCTAGAAATGGCTCAGTGTCAGTCCTGTGGCCTCTTCAGGAGAAATCAGTTCTAGGGTTAGGGTTAGTTCTAAAGTGTCCTCTGAAGAAATCAGTTCCAGGGTGTCAGTTCTATAGTCTCCTCTGAAGAAATCAGTTCCAGGGTGTCAGTTCTATAGTCTCCTCTGAAGAAATCAGTTCCAGGGTGTCAGTTCTATAGTCTCCTCTGAAGAAATCAGTTCCAGGGTGTCAGTTCTATAGTCTCCTCTGAAGAAATCAATTCTAGGGTGTCAGTTCTATAGTCTCCTCTGAAGAAATCAGTTCCAGGGTGTCAGTTCTATAGTCTCCTCTGAAGAAATCAGTTCCAGGGTGTCAGTTCTATAGTCTCCTCTGAAGAAATCAGTACCAGGGTGTCAGTTCTATAGTCTCCTCTGAAGAAATCAATTCTAGGGTGTCCGTTCTATAGTCTCATTGGGAGAAATCAGTTCTAGGGTGTCAGTTCTATAGTCTCCTCTGAAGAAATCAGTTCTAGGGTGTCAGAAAGCTAAACTCCTCAATCATCAGACAACACCAATGTTGAGGTGGAAACCAAGATCTGCTTTATTGAAGAAAGCGCACAGAGTTTATACCTCACAGGATCAGATTAGAGTTCAGTGTGTCCCGTCCCCCAGACAGCCAGGCGCCACATTGGAAATCTTTCAAGCACAGACACTCTTTGAACTTAAAGAAGAACTATGGGGGGGGGGGGGGCTTTTCACTCAGCCTCATAGTTCTAGCTGACCTGTGACAATGAGACTGTCACAGGTCGGCTCAGTAGATCGGGAAGTGAGCGAACATATACCGGCGTTCGCTCACCTCTCGATCCTGTCATGGCTCTCTGCCGTGACAGGGGGAGGGGCTGGATTCCCCTCTCCCCGCTCCGATCTGCCAGCGCTGACTGGCGGAACGGACGGGGGAGGGGGCGGGTAGAGCTGGCTCTACCTCTAGATAGGCAGAGCCAGCTGTCACTCACGCAGCTTTGCGGATCCAGACATAATTGTCAGGATCCGCTCCGGCTGCAGCGTCTCAGTATATAGAGAGCTGTAGCTCGCGGTATACTGAGCTTTGGGTGACGGGAGGACGCTAGTTTGTGTCCTCCCGTCACCCTGAGGAGAACTATGGGGAAAAGCCCTAACCCCGTAGTTCTCCTTTTAACGAATGTCCTTAATTAGATCATCCCAAACAATGGCCCCTCCAGACAGCCTGCTGCCTATAATGAACACAGTGGTGTGTGTCTGTAATCATGCAGTATATCCACTCCACACATATCCTAGGAGAATGGTTCCATGTAACCCCAAGAGGTCCAAGGGGGGTCTCCATAGTTCTGGGTCCATAGTCACAAG